CTAGGCGTTTAACAATGCACAAACAACAGGGCTCCATCAAGGAACATATAATCGCCATACACAATGAGACGATCACCAGGGATAGTTTGACGAGCAACACCGAAAGAATTGATAGATACAATGAAAATAGAAACTTAGAAATCAGTGAAGCGCTGCATATCAAGAAATCTAGACTTAACAATCAATAACCAGTTAATACACAGTTACACTCTACCCACTTCAAGACCCCGGGTCAGTGCAGAAGCTGGACTGAATGCCTCTGCAACAGGAACGGAAGCAACCAGGAGAACATAAGCTGCCAACATGTCACACTCTTAATTTACTACCCCATTTATTTAATACCCTATTAATACCCCCATGTAATGTCTTTTATCCACGTCATCTACCACCTCACAATTACAGGATATAACCAGGTGCTAACACAGTAGAATTTGTCTTTGAGTATGTGAGGTGAGACCTTACGAAACCCATTACTATACTTCAGACCAAAATTAAAAAGTCAAAATTAACTTTGGAGAGTTAACTTCCTACTTCAGTGAAGAAATATAAGTAATATATATATATATATATATATATATATATATATATATATATATATATATATATATATATATATATATATATATATATATATATATATATATACAGTATATATTTGTCAAAGAATTTGGTTATTTGTAGCCAAAGTCTTGCTGCAAAGTTTTCTGGAAGTTACCAAGAATTGTAACACATTTCCACTTTAACCAGTACATACACATTTTTTTTAGGCTGAGTTGTATCAGATCCAAACTAGGTCAAGTGATATCCAGACATTTTGCATGCAGGCCCTATGGTGTTTACGAGAAACATATCAATATAGATAATCCCTAATATCATAGGTGATAACATTTCGCTCGCGTGGATCATCGGGGATTTTTAATGAGTTGAGAATTAGTCAGATAATTCTGAGCTCCTTCGTTAGTAGCCATTCTGGCTTAGTTGGGTAGACTACGGTCTCCCATTTGCCAAGTCCAAGTTCAATCCTCCGATGGTCCTAGTGACTTAATGACAAAGGTTCCTCCATTATAACCGCCTTTGCCTCCTCCCATATATGCATAGTAATGGAGCTCTTGACTGGGTGCAAAACGACTCGCCAGAAGAGTCTAGTTATGCAGAGTTATGTACAGAGTTGTCACAAGGTTGACCTTGTGGTACATTTCGATATTTTATTCCATCAACATTTTTTGCACAACCTATTGGAGGTACAGACCATTCTCAGTTTAAAGTGATTCTAAGACCCAGTCTGGTTAATACCCTGGTTAAACACCTAAATATTTATTTAGATATTTGAAATGGTTTAAAAGCCTATTACGGTTCTAATAATAGTTTACTTGTAAACTGACAAATGAATCTATGTCCTAAAGAAAGAATATTGTCAAGTTATAATTTTATTGTTTTATCAATAGTTGGTTTGAAATATAAAAAGTTTATGCTAAATTTATTTTCCTTGAATCTGTTCGAAGAATTTGGTTATCTGTAAATGAAATTCTAGGGGATACTCAAATAGTTTTCGAATGTCATATTTTATATCTTTGAGAATAATATTCGGCATTAATGTAACCTAACTTAACTTATTTAGGAAGTAAATAGTAGCACTAATTATGTAGCGGTTTTGAAATGATTACCCCCAAGTGTCCAATCACTTAGGCTGGACGGTGGAACAGCGGTCTCGCTTCATGCAGGTCGGTGTTCAATCCCAGACCTCCCAAATGGTTGGGCACCATTCCTTCCCCCCGTCCCATCCCAAATCCTTATCCTGATCCCTTCCAAGTGCTATATAGTCGTAATGGTTTGATGCTTTCTACTGATAGTTCTCTCCCCTTCCTCCCTAAGGACAGGATATCCAGCCGAAATGAAAGTGTACTTAACTAATTGGGCTTGAAGGATTGAGCTGTGGCCCTTTGCTTGCACTTATAAACTTTTATATATAAAGTCCACATTTATGTGGATGTGCCTTTTATGTGGAATTGTTTTTGTATATGGGAGTGCCTTTTTATATGGGAGTGCCTTTTTATATGGGAGTGTCTTTTTATATGGGAGTGTCTTTTTATATGGGAGTGCCTTTTTATATGGGAGTGTCTTTTTATATGGGAGTGTCTTTTTATATGGGAGTGTCTTTTTATATGGGAGTGTCTTTTTATATGGGAGTGTCTTTTTATATGGGAGTGTCTTTTTATATGGGAGTGTCTTTTTATATGGGAGTGCCTTTTTATATGGGAGTGTCTTTATATGGGAGTGTCTTTTTATATGGGAGTGTCTTTTTATATGGGAGTGCCTTTTTATATGGGAGTGTCTTTATATGGGAGTGCCTTTTTATGTGGAAGTGCCTTTTATGAAATATACCTTTTATGTAGATTTGCCTTTTATTTGGTTGTTTTTTTATGCAGATGTTATTTTATGTAGATGAGCGTTTTATGTAGATGTGCCTTTTATGTTAACAACTGTCTTAATTAAGAATATGTATCTTTCAAGACACATGACGTGTCAGGAACAAAATTTTACATTGTAATTCATACATTTATTAACAATTTCAATTACGTCTGAGTTTTGGGTGAATTCTGCCAATAGGCACCTACAAGATTGGTGATTTAGGGGGATTCATTCACTTCGGACTTCTGATTGCCTAGAATGTTGAGGAGTAGTTGATGAGGAGAAGGGATGATATTCCAAATGTATAAATTATATTCCCCATAAATCCCCAGACATAAATACATTTAAAATTGCTTGGTCGAACTTTAATATGATGGCTGTGACATGTGCCTTTGAAACATAAATGTTTAGTGAGTTTCTTAAATGTTTCTTAAATTGACAAAAACTAATTTTCAACCCAAATAAATGAGTTAAAATTCGGTTTATTTGTCACTTTGTTTTGTTTATATTATAAACAGTAATTCTAAGTTAAATATTTACGTATGTATTACTTGTATAGGGAAAATATATTGTATTATATTTTTTTCTGCTGTTTACATTGCTGCCGCGGAGTGCCTACCATCCCGAGACACAGCAGAGTGCAGCAAATTTGATTTAATCTAAAATATTTTTTTTTCTGGAGTATATTAGAGATTGTTATTTTAGTATTATATTTGGTATTTGTTTGCACCTTAATAATAGTCAACACAATTTTCTGTCCATTGTATCTTTTAAATGTGTGACATTGTAGTTTAAAAAAGACAGAAATTTGTGTGAACCCAATTTAGTGGTTCAATATATAGGGAATGTTACTATTGTAATATGTATTAATGGAATAAAAACTATTTTAATGATTTTTTTAACTAATTTACACCTCATTTAAAGTCACTATTAGTTACAACAAAGCATAAAGAGAAAATTTTTAAAACCGGTTGATACAAGTGCCAGAGGAAATCAGGAACTATATACTCCTAATTATTTGTCCCCCATGTATACATCTTCCTTAATACTAAGACTTTTCTAAGTTATTCCTTGCAATAACATTACGACTGGATGGAATTTGTGTCGTACTTGCCTTGGAACTTTAGTGTTGAGTTTGACTTACGTCAGATGTGGCCACGTGAGCTTCTAACTTGACTTAATAAATTCTAGTTTCGAGAGCTCAGTCATATTCACCCTGGATAGCTTCTAGAGCTCAGTCATATTCCACGGTGCATCTAGGGCCAGTCACGCATAATTGTTACAGTTAGCGTGACAGTTGTTGGGAGACACTTATTGTTTAATTATTATTTTCTACCACAGACGTGGCCACACATTTACAATGTCAGCCAGCATATATACATTTTCTTCTGTCCTCCATTGACAGGATTAGAGATCTGTAATACGAATAGCTCAATGATTTTTTGAGCAACCACAAGGTGATTTTGGTGCTTTTAAAATGTTAATCTAATCTTCATATGTATATATATATATATATATATATATATATATATATATATATATATATATATATGCGGAAAATCCACAGAGAAATATGAAATGAGGTGAACGAAGGAGAAGGGGGGAGGATATCATCCCCCTTCTCCCTTCTCCTTTAGTCAGTCTGGTGTTGACAAAGGCTTTAACAAGCCGAAACGTTTACCTCATTTCATATTTCTCTGTGGATTTTCCGCATATATATATATATATATATATATATATATATATATATATATATATATATATATATATATATATATATATATATATATATATATATATATATATATATATTTATGTATTTATGACCACGAAGGAAGGATTAAGACAGTAATTTCCTAAAATATTATCGTATTTAATAATACATCTTCAGAAGGATGAATTTATAGTTCAGTGGGTGTGGATATATAGGCAGGAAATAGGTGAGGTGAGGTACAATGTCTTTAATGAGATAATGGAATATTAATAAGATATTAGTGAGATAAATGTGTATCAGTGAACCTACTAAAATCGCCCTTTAGCTGTTCAATCAAAAATGGATATAAATTATACAAACCACAGCTAATACTCAAATTACATTATTTTATACTCTGTATTAAAGCAGATTCAATAAGGTTCCTATTGAAAATGATTTTTTACAGTTCATTATTGAAGAAGCACTCTCCCAATCAATTTGGTAAGAACTTTCTGACAAATGAACAAACAAGGCATCATGTCATGTCCTACAGAGTATTTATGCTGAGAAATTCTAAATTTAAAATTGGATGTTTGCCCTACACAGAACCTATTACACACAAACACACACACACACACACACACACACACACACACACACACACACACACACACACACACACACACACACACACACACACACACACACACACACACACACACACACACACACACACACACACACACACACACACACACACTCACACACACACATTTTTCCATCTGAGATCTTAGTTTTTGTTACCTGTACTTGTGTCTGCATTGGATACAGTTATTGTACTTATCAATGTTGTTCTGTAGATACTTGTAATCTTAATTTGTGTTTCTTTCTCCTACAGGTAAAAAAGCAGCCATCACACTCATTCCTTCACCAGCTGAGTCACAATGAATGAGCTTACTAGGTGAGTTGAAATTATCAATGCGGTCATTCATACGAGCAACTAGAATTTCTTTTACCTACATCAAACTTATAAACAAACACACAGGTTGACCTGAAGCTCATTAGTGCAGCAGCTTTCAATTGATTAGCCCTGGGTTCGGTTCCCAGGCAAGTTGAAACGTTTGGGCACATTTCCTAACGCCCAATACCTCTATTTACTAGCAGTAAATAGATACCTGGGTGCTAGCCGAAGGTTGTAGGTTGTATCCCTAAAGATGGTCACTCGTTGGCTCTCATACACTCACACATGCACACGCACTCCCATGTACTCTAACATGCACATGCACTCAAACATTCAACACACACTCTCCCAAGCACTCAAATGCTCATATTCATTGATTAATGTACGCTGATTATTTAATTTAAGTGTCATTATTTAGTGTCATGTTAAATTTCTAATTTGTTTATCTTTATATATCTTCCAGAGTAACAATGAACCACCTTGACAATGAATTCATTTCAATATATTCAACCGTCTCTGACCCTGAAGGTACGCCGTTCGGTCACCTCGCCTTCGAAGAGTCGCTCGTCAATCATCTTCAAGATATGGCGCTTCTGTTAGAACTCCAGCAGGAGGTACGTGCGGACGTCAGGAGGCAACGGGCAGAGGGAGGTGGCCGGCGTCCCAGGCAAGACCCACATCCCCGACGCCAGGCAGTCAGGAACGACCAGGTGAATTTTCCGGAGGAACGAGACGTTAGTATACAAGGACAGAGGCAGAGTCAGTTGGGTTCGGTGGAGATGTTACAGGAGGAGGAGGAGGATGATGATGAGGCTCTGGAACGTCTCCTGGAAGCCCCAGAGGTTTCCGGGTTGATGGATTCCGAGGACTCTGTAGACTGGCTGGCTGACAAGTAGCTGCCTCCACATCTAGCCTAAAGCAACATTTGCTGGCTAGATAGAAGCGTGTTTGTATTGAGATTTTATATAAAATCTACCAACATTTTTCCTCTCCTGACTATCCCATTCTTTCCTTCCTCTTCTCACTGCCCCCTCTTTCTTCCCTATCCTCACTGTTCCCTCTTTCTTCTCTCTCCTCACGCCCCCTTCATTCTTGAAACTCTTTACGGCTTTATGTTAACCCAGGGACCAAGAGCCGTGTCCCAACAACGACCTTCAGAGGTCGCGAGGGATCCCTTAGTTTAATATCTTTGATTTATCATAATAAAACATTATCCCAAAACTCTTCAACAAACTGGAGGATGTAAAAGATATATATGGATATACCTTTCAAGTTAACATTTTTTTATAGTAATCATATAATACGTTTATGTGACTATGCAAAAGATCCTATATGTAGCTTTATGGTCTATATGTGAACTAAACATAGCTACCAAGAGGCTGAGGGAGAGTGGGGTGGCCCAGTACTGGTTTGTGGGTCCCAGTTGAGAGGGTGACCCGGTACAAGCTTGTGACCCCCAGTAATAATGGGGTGACAGTACTGGTGATAATACTGGTGACCCAGTACTAGCTCCTCAGTGGCCAATGACAGAATCTACTGTCATGTTTGATGGCAATAAAAGTACCTTATATAATGGGCTGTTAAAAAGTGCCTTTGTAACAAATATATTCCAAATGTTAAGGAATGTTTTTTTTACTTCTTACTTAGTGAATGTTAAATAGTACATCCATTTCAATGTTAAAACTATAATTATGTTTCAGACTTTAAGAATTTATATAACGGCAATTAAGTATGATGTACTTTTTTTAGACTTACTTTGTATAAAGTTCAATATAAAATCTGTCTTTATTAAAGAAAGGTGAAGATTCGTCTTTCCTGGTTTCTGACATTTCGGGTTTTTTCTTGCATTTGTTAATATATTATCATAATCATTAGTTTTCTAATTATAAATGTGTGGTTTCTAGTTCTGTTACATTGCTATAAACTAATGTCAAAACTTAATATGATGGTGTTAGCTTAATATGGCAGTATTTAGTGTGATATGAATTTTAATTGAATAAAAAGTGCTCATAGA